GCACATGTCCCCACCCCCTACTGTCTGTGTCCTTTGGTTATACTTATATGCATGCATACAAGTCCTTTGGTTGATCTCTTAATCCCACCTCCCACCCTCCTCTGTCTTCCCTCTGAGGCTCCATGGTCTGTTCGATGCTTCTATGTCTCTGGATCTGTTTTAATTCATCAGTTTATGTTGTTCACCCACCCCAGGCCTACACCACCCTATTGTCTGTGCCCAGGGGTTATGCATATATGCATACAAGCTCATTGGTTGAGCTCTTCCCACCCATCCTCCCCAGCCTTCCCTCTCAGGTCAACTGTTCATGCTTGTATGTCTCTATTTTTTTCCAGACATGAAAATGTTTGTACTTTATTAATATGACATCATACTGGGCACTTAGGCTGTTTCCAAATCTTAGTTATTGTAAATTGGGCTGCTATGAACATAGGGGTGCATATATTGCTTGTTTTTCTTGTTTGTTCATTTGTTTCTTTCAGTTTTGTATCCCACATACAAGTAAAATCATATTCAATGGATTGAAAAAAAGATAAATTACTTAATAGAAACATGGGGAAAGGACATGAACAGGCAATTCATAAAAGAAATGGAAATGATCAGTATATACATGAAAACATGATCAGCCTTGCTAGTAATAAAATTAAAGTGTCTTTTTAAACATACTAGATACAGATTAAAGAAATTATTAATGTCTATTATTGTTAAAGGTATGGGGAAACAGTCACTTTCTATACTAGTGATGGAAATATAATTGACTCCACTTTTTTAGTGAGCAGTTTCTCAATCTTCATAAAATGTTTTGTGTTTCCTTTGTCCTAACAGTTCTACTTGTAAGAATTTCCCCTAAGGAGATAGTATAATTAGGGCATATAGATGTAGGTACAATGATCTTCCTTACTGTGTACTTACATTATAAAAATGGTCTAAATGTCTGCTATGAAATAATTTTTAGCTTTTACAAAGGATACGTTACAAAAAGTGGATCACAAAAGAATATATGTAATATGATCTCCTTCATGTAGTGTCAGATAATTGTTAGTCTTCTAAATATTTTTATGCCTACACACATAAACCAAAGCTTATTAGATAGCATAATCTACACTAATAAAAGAGAAACATGGTAATTGGCATACAACCGCTACCCTTCCCATTGGCTAATCAGCATATCCTTATGCAAAT